ACAAGACGAAAACAGAGTGTCAAACATTTGAGGTGTTGTTAAAGGATAACACACAAAGAAAAGAAGGAGGATAGAAAAGAACGAAAGACAATATGATGTGATAGGAAAGACGGAGCGAACCATAAAAAAGCACTCGTCAATCATCCGCGAGTAGAGATAATCGGAAAGGAAGTAAAAACAACAATAAAATAAGGGACAGTTCACCCAGTTTAGCAGCAACAAGCCAGTAAGTCGAGCTGTATGTCAACAGACACATTAAATTTCACAAAGAACAGTCTTAGTAGTAAGTGTTTTACGGCATTTACAACACAATAAGTTCATATAAGTGCAGAAGATTAGAGGTGTTACAAGAGAGTAACAAACACAAAAAAGAAGGAGGGGGAGATAGAGACGATAAACTTTTTATTGGAAAGAAGGAGCAAACCACACCAGAGCACCCGCCAACTACCCACTTTCACAAAGAACAGATTGGGACAACATTAACAGAAAAAAGAAATAGAAGAGATCAAATTAATTGTTGAATGAGAGCAGCCACAAACGACCTCCCATCCGACACACGCTCTTTCTATTTCTTTCTTGTTTTGTTTTAATCAATCGACCCATCTAACCCGGCCTCGCTGTACTGTGATAACGACAGCTGATGTGATAACCGGCACGCTTCCTTCTACAGTGCTATCACTATCAACAACGACGTACGGGATTTTTTCCGTCAGTCATTACCTATCTCATAAGTAGAAGCCTACAGTAGCTAGATCTATAATATGATTTCCGCGTCTCAATTTTGTTGCGAAGATGGGGGGGGGAAACGGCGATTCGATTCTCACTTTAACTTCTATGCTACCGGCGTTTGTGGTGTAGCCGTTAGTCGCTTCGCCATCGCACGCAAGAAACCCGAGTTCGATGAAGTATGTCGGCATAATAATAATAATGGACATTTAGTGCTGGGAAAAAGTAAGACACAAACATCAGAGGGAAAGTAAAGAAGCATGACCTACCAGAGGCGCCCTCAAACCACCCGCATCTCCATCAAGAACAAAACAAACAACAAAATCAATAACGCTTCTTTAACACTTTCACTGCCAGACCTACTTCACTTCTTCTGAACGACTTTTAAAGATCTCGGGCAAGGAAGGGAAGGTGTTTAAAAGATGCGCACAAACTGCCTCAACATCAGAGAATAATTTCATACGAACGTCTGCCTGAACCTGTGGGAACAGTAGAGTCTAGGACCAAGGGATACTGCGCGATCATAACCCTCGGAAAACGGCAAAGAGTTGTTGAGACTCGATAGAAAAACAGCTGTTTACCTGTAGTTTCAGGGCCAGTCGGCCAGAAGACAATAGCCATATTACACATGTATAGGGTATACAGAAACTGTGAGACTTCACACACACGTATAGGGTATACAGAAACTGAGACTTCACACACACGTATAGGATATTGAAACTGTGAGACTTCACACACACGTATAGGATATTGAAACTGTGAGACTTCACTTGTTGTTGAAGATCAGTCAGATAAAACAATAAATGGCCATTTTCCTTATGAGCATATAGAAACTAGAAACTGTCAGCCTCTACTTGTAGTTGAAAGTCAGTCGACTAGAAGATAAAGAACGTCCAAGTTGCTAAAGGAGCATAGATTATAGAAACTGACTGCAATCACTTACGATTAAGACTTGTAGTTGCAGGCCAGTCAGATACAACGCAATGGCACAATAGCCATGTTGTAACACGAACATATCAAAACATGACTGACACTGATATTAAAATAGAGCACACCAAGGAAAAGAGCTCACCTCCCCGTAACTCTCTTATGTTTGTTTGCTTGATGATTGATTGATTGATTGATTGATTGATTGATTGATTGATTGATTGATTGATTGATTGTTGGGGGGGGTCCGTTTTTGTTTGTTTTGTTTAGGTTGTTTGTTGTTGTCGTTTTTTGGAAGGGGGGTGCAGGTGGAGGCTTGATTCTGTTATCTGTTCAGCAAACTTAAAATACGTTTCCAGAACATCAACAGATCCCAAAATGACTATATATTTTACGCCCTCACTAGATCAATAAGAAGATGAGTTTCTTCGACGCCGTCTGTTAGAGCAAACTCGGGCTGAGATGGGAACACGCCAAAACAAAGATGTGAGATACGACACAAAAGAATCTTCCATCTGAGGGATTCAAACTTTTATTTTTCACTTATTGGAAGACTCAGAACATATTCACTACACTTGCTTCACGCCCATTTCTCAAGCAAAGCAACAAAACTAGCCAGCTTACTCGAACTTACCCAGGATCATCATCAGTATCCATACCTGCGAAAACATTCACCAAAAGACTACAACGAATAGAGCTAACAAAGTTGACGTGACTGGTTCAGATAGGCAGACCTCGCCACACAAATTATAATAATTGACACCGAGAGGAGAGAATAGAGACAGGAGTAAACGCTCTGTGATAGAGAGGTCAGAGAGCTCGGTAGATGGTGGGTATCATCCACGAGTGGCCGATTACTGATATCAACACAACAATCCTGCCGTCAGTTTTTAAAACACCGTACGTGCAGTTATTCCAATTTTTACAGGAGAGCCAAAAAAAGGAATGTTGATACCGAGAAAACAACATTTAACAAAGTGATTATCAAAATTGTATTCTTAAAAATATTGACTTGGGACGTGTGCAAAGATCTTCTTTCCTTGGCAACAACATCCAGTTTTTGGGCTGATGCTGCTGGGTTTTGTGGGGGGGTTTTGGGGGGGGGGGGGGTTGGGTTTTTCTTTTTTTGGCTCTCCTATAAAATTGAAAAAAGTGCATATACTGTACTTTTAAAAATGCCGACAGAATACTTTGTGATCAAGTAGATGGAGATACCAAAGTTAACCCTCCGGTGTGGCCTCACGCTAGACCAAGGCTTGTCAAGCTGGGCGGTATCACCCATTAATGGTTCTAGTTTTAATCTGTGTTTTACGGCATTTACAACACATTTAGGTCACATATAAGTGTCGAAGATTAGAGGTCTTATTAGAGAGTAACGAACACAAAAAGGAGAGATAAGGGCGATAGGTGTTTGATAGGAAAACAGGAGCAAGCCACACCAGAGACATCGTCAACCACACGCACCCACCACAAGTGGGCGATTTGACAATTTTGAAAGTGCCGAGGGGATCACTTCGGTAGTAGTAGACATTATTTAATGCCATGCTTGGAAATTCCTTGAAGCTGGCCAGTACACAGTACCCAAAAATGATAGCTTCCCAAGGGTGGCAGAAGTGAGCAGTGATCATAAAAACGTTGACAAGCAGTGTACTAGATGCTGTTTTACTAGATGCTGTTCTGTCACTGAAGGAAGACCAGGTTTGTGCTGTTCACGCCTACATGTAATATTGATATGATAGTCTTTTGCGTCTTGACAGACGATCTTAAACCAGTATGCATGGTAGTATACAGCTTTGCCTGAGCGGTAGACAATATAGAGTAAGTACAAAGCCCAAGTACTACTTCCCTCCCTTCTGATTTTTAAAAAAGTTTTAGTAGAGGGTTTTACGGCGTTCGCAACTGATTAAGGTCATATGAACGCCAGAAGAAAGAGGTGTTACAAGAGAGTAACAAACATAAAAAAGAAGAAGGGGAGATAAGGACGATAGATGTTTGATAGGAAAAAGAAGCAAACCACACCAGAGCACCCGCCAACCACCCACCTTCTGATTGTGACCTCCTTCACATGCTCCAAAGGAGAGACATCGTCAGTACATTTGGAATCAAAGAAGGTGTAAAGGTGTATCTGACTGTTTCTTTTTCTTCTCTACTAGATCTCTTGAGTAGTCGGCTATTGGTACATGTAATAATAATGTATGTGTTTTACGCCCATATCGACACAATTTAGATTAGATAATTCAGGAGGTTTTGCTGCTTGGTCAGCCCGTCTTCTAGTACAGATCACTCCCGACTGAGTAGGGTGCAAAATTCCAAGAGACATACGAAGGTATTCGTTTTAGTAAGAGTTTTACAGCATTTGTAACACAATAAAGTCAGCTAAGTGCTGAAGACTAGCGGTGTTACAAGAGACCAACAAGCACAAAAAAGGAGGAGAGATCAAGACGATAGATGTTTAATAGGAAAGAGGGAGCACACCAGAGCACCCACTAAACGCCTACTCCAATAACTGCAGAGACAATCAGAAATCTCATGCATTTCACAATTGTCCACAAAACGCAAAAGAAATGAAAATACAACGCAAAAAGCAGAAATCACAAACCTGTTCCGTGAACTGCATTCCTCCAATACCCTGTTTTACAGAACTCGCAAAACAATTAGATCACATACGTGCCGAACATTACAGGTGTTACAAGAGAGTAAAAAACACCAAAAAGGAGGAGAGATAAGGGCGACAGCTGTTTGATAGGAAAGAAAGAGCACACCACACCATAGCATCCACCACTCATCCACCTCCAATATCTGCTATAACAATGAGGAGTGTCATTCTCCCAGTAGATATTGTGCTGTACTATGAGTATGACATGGATGAACCTGGTTCAAATCTCTCAGTCACTACAGGCTCAGACATATATAAGGTGGATGGTACATACATCCGGCAGGGGTCCTGCTTCAAAAATAAAATCAGTCTTGAAAGGGATTCAAAACTTTACTTTACCATTTAATCACACCAACCCATTTATCAGCCATAAGCAAAGACAGTAGCATTGAAACAGAACACACTGTAGTACAGTCAGACAGACAGAAAGAGGGGAAAAGAGAGAGAGAAAAATGTGAGAGAGAGGTAGAGAGAGAGTGAGAGAGTGAGGGGGGAGAGAGAGAAAAAGAGAGAGAGAAAGAGAGAGAGAGAGAGAGAGAGAGAGACAGACAGACAGACAGACAGACAGACAGACAGACAGACAGACAGACAGACAGACAAAAAAACACACACAAACACACAAGTACACATTCACACACATACACACACACACACACACACATACACACACACAGACAGACATCAGTCTGACCTGTTGAGTGAGGTAACAACTTGTGTCAACTCATCATTCTTCTGCTGTAAGGAAGTCACTCTCTCCTGAGCCTCCGACAGGACTTTCCTCAGTCTGCTCACCTGCACAACAAGGACATACGTATTTTTACTCACACAGTTTGTTCAATTGTTTGTTTGTTTGTCTGTTTGTTTGTTCGTTTGTGCGTCTGTTTAGGTAGAGAAAAGCACATCAACACAATAATGGTCATTTAGTGCTGGGGAAAAGTAAGACAGACCTACAAACTGAAACATCAAAGTGAAGGTAAAGAAGTAGGACATACCAGTGGCGCCCTCCAACCACCCACTCACATTCTGTGAACACTATTGTCTGTAGAAGTAAATTTACAATTTTTGTGCCTTTAATCAAAAATGTTCCATAAAATCCACACAGAAAGGTGTTTATAAATGGACATGAAATGTGCTGAGGCAAAAGATAAAGATTCTATAAAAATGTTCGAACCAGCGGTAAAATGGTGATTTCTTCCATTTTATTATTTCGACGAGCGCCTGATTTTACAATTATGATGCTTCACAAATGTACTTATTACAATTAATTTTTCAATCTCTAACCGATTTACCTCTCTCTCCCTCTCTGGCAGTGTGACATCGTACAAGCTAGCAGCACAAATTTTCTCATCCACAGGATCAATCTTCTTTGGGCTCCCACTGTCCGCCAGAGTCTGCTTGATCATACATCTCAGTCGTTCATTTTCTCCTGTGTCGGACAGAGCAAAGGGTTCTTTCATTTCAAGGGATTTCTATTATCCACTCTGTTTTTATTTGGTTCTTTCTATTACATGTTCACTCTGGCTACTAGAAATCTGTAACAACATTTCAGAACCCCCCCAAAAAATAGGCCTCCTCTGCTTTCACAAACCCACCCCAAAAAACCAAAGGATGCCTCCCTCAGAACTTAAATCAATCATTTTTAAAATTTCGTAATCTGTGTCATGTCCTGAGGCCAACAGATTCACTCAAAATAAGGGAAAATAGAACAGTACCAGGTTGTTGTTTTTTACCCCAGGATAAAAGTTCATATTAGTGAACATTAAAACATCACCTTGTTCCACTGAGAAGGTCACTCACCAGTTTCATGGACAGGTCTAAAAGCTTCACATTTCAAGTAGCCAAAGTGACATGCGCTGAGAAAAATCTACTTACCTGATATTAAATATTTATATTGTATTATATTGAACTGATGATCATCTCTCTCTATACCATGCTGGAGAGAATTTGTGAAATGAATAACACTATGAAGACAATGCACTGCAGATAAAGCAACAGTTACAAAAGACATGTTAAAGACTGAGCAAGATTAAATAAAGCTTAAAGCTATTGCTATAAATAATGAATAATGTCACTGTTGTTTCTTTCACTTTTTATACATGTTAACAAGCAGCATTTGGAATTTGGAAAGTGATATCTACAGCGGAAAACAGCTGTTACAAATAAATATGTTTTTATTAAAAAATGAAACTACAGACCAACCAAGTCACTAAAACATTATAGGCCTGTACCTGTTATGTCGTGGTGAAATCAGGCGTTCGTCAATATGATGAAATTGAAAAAAATTGACAATTTTCAGCTCGTAGGGCCATTTTTATTGCATTTTTTTTTCCAGCTCAACACCTTTCATGCTCATTTCAAAACACATATCTGTGTGGATTTTACTGACAAAAAAGTTGATCTAAGGTATGAAAAGTAAATTTGCAATTTCCAAGTTTGTAGCTAATTTTATCTCAGATATCAGGCGCCCCCCCCCCCTCCCCCCACCCATTTCCTTTAATTGCAAATATCTCAACTTCTATTCAAGATTGATGGGGGGGGGGAGGGGGTCATCAAAAGCAAAGCAAAAGGATATGCTTGAAGATAATATCAATAACTTCATATGCCGAAACATTGACGAGCACCAGATTCCACCGTGTCGTGTCACATACAGTCGAACCTGTCTAAGACAGCCACACATTGTTAAGGAGAAAAGTGGCCATCTTAGACAGGTGGCCAACATACATGGTGTAATTATAATTTAAAAAATACGCAAGGGAGAAAACGGGAAGGGGGATTGTCTTGTACAGGTGGCCATTACGGCAGGTTTGACTGTATCAAAAAGCAAAAGACAATATCAATAACTCCATATGCCAAAACATTGACAAGCACCTGAATCCCCCCTGTTGTGACACATAATGTAATGTAGGGCCTGTATTATACATTGCTGTGGAATAATGTACATTACATAACACTTCTGTTATAGCTGTAAGGTAACGTATCAGGATTCAGACAGTACCTTTCTTTTACTCAGTAGTCACTTTTCGGTTACAGTGTACTAGAAGACAAAAATAAAACAAAGAGCCTTTTCAGACGTGTGTTTCTTCACTCTCTCTATATCTGTTTGTACCCACAAACCGAACAATATGTGAGGCAGCGTGGTGGAATCAGGCTCTCGTCAAACTAATCAAAGTGAAGAAACTTGCATTTTTCCTCAGGTTAGTGAATTTTTATCAAGTTTTTGTTTTTTGGCTCAACACCCTTCATGCCCGTTAAAGAACTAATTCCTGTGTGGATTTTTCTGAAAAACATTGATTAACGGCACAAAAAATGTAAATTTTCTGTTACCACCGACTCTTAAGTTAAGGAAATAAATAATCTTTGGAGGCCATTTTCTCACTAATTTTACCTCTGAAAACAGATAACCCCACCTCCTTCATTCGCAAATATCTCGACTTGTATTCAAGATAAATAAATATTTTTTCATCCAAATAAAGACAAGTGAACAAGCTTTAAGATGATATCAATAACTTTACATGCCCAAAAATTGACGAGAGCCTGATTCCACCACGCTGCCTCACATATTATAATTGCTACTTACCTTTAAAGTTCCTCAGCACTGTCACCAGCATGCGTAGCCTGAAGACATAGGAGGAAAACACATGAGCCATTGACCTATATAGATGTAAACCAGCAAAGTGAGCTTGTCCAGTATAAGAGGACTAGACAGAAAGTTCTGTGTGTCACTTCACATGTCCTGAGACAAGAAAACTAACAACTGTTGTGCACAAGGTAGATTTTTTCCAATATTCAAATATGATATGAACACTACTTTTTTGCAATCTTTTTCCACAAAAGAAGTATGACTCAGATTGCAAATCCTGGAGTGTTAAGAAATTGTAAAATGAAGAGGAGAGCCGTAACAAAAGGTCACTGAAAAAAAGAAAATCTTTGGCACAAAATTAACACTGTAGCAAGACCTATCACATAAACATGTCCACTGTATGCACACATGAACACAAAATGGATGTTCTCTCGCAAATTATTCAGAACACGATGGTGATCTTTCAGTCGCATAAATCACAGACTGAGACAAAGACCAAAAAAAAGACAAAATAAGAAGAAAGAAGCCCAGCACCATCAGTCCACTGACAAAACAGAGCTCAAACAATACACAACTAGCACGAGACTTTGACAAAGAATGAAAGGAAAGATGATTTTAAAAATTTATAATTATGTAACAAACATCCTGGGAACGAAATTTCAGTAATCCCAGGGATGTCAATGCTAACATAAAGAGTGTAGCACAGTAATACGTTTTGATCCATATCTGAGAGAGAATGAAGGCAATTACTACTGGTTTGGCAGGCATAAAGACTTTACTCCTATATAACGACTGATTCCAATACACACACCACAAGACTATTTTTGACGAGATAAAGAACAGCACCACACATCTTACTTGAGTACTAGACTCTGAAGACAAAGGCCATCCTTGTGGATGGTTGAAATGTGTACATCAAAACTTTTAAACAGAGAGTAAGTCAGAGCAAGAGCCCACAAGCCAAAAGTTGACAATCCAGCTTGTTTGTAAGAGTAAAGAGGAGCACATTGAGGCAACACCAGTCATTTAGTACAAAGGAAAAAGTTAAAAAGACAATACTGAAACAACACAACAGAGCGAAAGAAAATAAATATATAGGAACTACCACTAGTGCCTTTCAACTGCTCATTCAAGTGAACAAATGCAAGTGAACTTCTCTCAGAATGCAAAAGCCAATAACTGTCAGCAGGAAAGTATTATGAGTTAATAATAATAATAATAATAATAATAATAATAATAATATAATAAGCCTAATACTATTAATAATAATTGTAAAAAGAGGGTGTGGTGGCGGAGGGGTTAGTGCGCTTGTCTCCGAAGCAGAAAGTCTGGGTTCGAGCCCCGGTTTGGACACAGATTTTTTTCGCCCCCTGCTGCCCACCCAGCAGTAATGAGTACCTGTCTTCGAGTTGGAGAAGCAAAGGCGGCGTGGAAAGAAACTGGCCACCCTACCACAATATTATGCCGAAGGCCCAGGAAGTTGTCTCACTAACAAGGCAATCTCCAGTGTCCGGATACGATGCGGGAACAACTTTACTTTACTTTTATATCAACACTCTACGAAATGTTCTATGCATTTTACAAGCATTAGTACTCCAGCACACCCAGAAACACTCATAAATATTTCCAGCTTCCCTGTAAGCATACAGTGCAAGCTGCGAATGGCATTAAGCTCAATAATATACAGATGTGTATCTTCTGTGTCTGTAACTGGGTACCCATTCCCATCTGGATGGAGTGAGGAAAATTTATGTAAAGTGCACTTCCCAAAGACCCAAAGTCCGGTTCCTAACGGGTTTCAAACCTACAACGTAATGACCCGAGAGCCTAACCACTAGGCCACCACAGTTTGGGATTTTTTCTTTGACACTTAGTTTAGTTTTAGTAAGAGTTTTACGGCACTTGCAACACAAAAAGGTCATACAAGAGCTGAAGAATAGATTACGTGTTACAAGAGAGTAACAAACACGAAAAAGAAGGAGGGGAGATAAAGACAGATGTTTGATAGGAAAGAAGGAGCAAACCACACCAGAGCACCCGCCAACCACCCACTTTGACACTTAGAGTAAGTGTACATATACATGAGTGTGAGGAAGTACATAAAACTGCACGTACACACAAATAGAACATAAGCATGCAAGAGTATTTTTTAGACCAGGGCTACTCAGAAGTATTAAGTACTGGTGGATAAAGAACAACTGTGTTGTATCCTGGTGAAAGAAGGCACTCGTCAAAATGATGAAATTGAAGAAACCAACATTTTTTCACCTATTCAGCAATTGTTAGCTATTGTTTTTTAAGTTTTGGTCTCAAAACTTTAGATGTTCATTTGAAAACACATTACTGCATGAATTTTTACTTTAGAAAACAAAGACTCATAAAATATAAATTTGCACTTCCCAAAGCCACTACAGCATTGGAAATCACCAAACTTTGACAGCCAATTTCTGGCAAATTTTACCTCTGACACCAGATGACTCCGCGCCTCTTTCAATAACAATGAGTCGACTTATATTAAAGATACATGGGTATTTTCAATTAAAAGCAAAACAAATGAGCAAGATTATCCAAATAACTCTATATGCCCAAAGATTGACAAGCGTCTGATGCCACCGTGCCGTGACATAAATCAATAATAGAATAATGAAGGGACACATAAAACTATTGTAGATTTTAGCAAAGACAAAGCTATTGTGGTTCAAAACAACTCCAAAATACCAGAAAACTGAGAAATGGGTAAAATCGATTTTCTCTCCGTCATCTGAAAATATCTTGGCATTAGGATGGATTAAAAATAATTAGAATTTTCGTGTTATCAAGCCACCTCTATTAATAACTCAAACGACAGACTCAAAACACGTCATCATGTAAATCTGACCTTTTCACAGTCAGCAAGTTAAAACACAAAATCATCTTATTGCTGTTTTACCCACTTTTCATTAGAAATGTCATAGTGGAAATCACACCGGCATTTGCTCTTGCTCTTTTCCGGTGAAATTCCAGGATTTGGAGAACTCATTTTGTCCTGAGCAACACTCTGCTCATTGTCAACCGCCTGAGGAGTACACAAGAAAAAAAAACAATGTCTGGCTATCCATCACTTTACATTTTGGGAACATGCAACTAGATATCATCATCAAGCTGTTCAACAATTCTAAGCCCAGGAAGAAAAAATATTATTTCAGTAGGCCTGCAGAGAAAAACAGTTCTTAATTCTTTTTACAGTTTTACCTACATTATGTATCTCTCCTTGCTTATCTTAATATTTAGATTTTGAATTTCAACAAAGTATTTGTAACTAACATGCACAGTCAAGAAACTGTAGATATTTTATGAAGATTTTTAGAATTTGAGAATATTTCACCAGACCTAGCTGACAAAATGTGACCAATACCTATACATTTCAAACATTACAGATCCTTCAATTCCTATGCACTGAAGCTCATATAAAAAGCTGACAAAGGTCAATCTAGAGCTCAACTTGACAACACTTCTTCGAACCTTTATTCTTGGAGAGAAAAACCCCCACTACTGAGCGAAAATTCAGTCTACAAGATTGTGATAAACTTATTACAAAAGGCGTATCGTGAGCTATCAGCAGAACCCCACAGTTGTCTCATAATGAGTATCATGTTAATCAAATAAAAACGAAAAAACAATGCTGGGTGAGTAAGGGGCATAAAACATGATTGAAACTAAACCTGTCTACCCATGTTTCATATCATTGCATCCCCTTACTAGAGCCATGTCAAGACCAAACAAGGAACAAGCATGCACAATTTTTCACTCCCCTCTGAGCAATCAAGGAAAATAGAAATGCACAAACTTTGTAACAACTGAAAGCTGAGAGAAGGTAAGAAGACCCAGCCTTGACCATTTTAAGAGAGGGAAACACAAAAAATCTCAGTCCATGCTAAGCAGGAGAAAAAGTCCACATTACACAAATATGACTAATTACGGTAAGAGAATTCATTACGATCTTATCCATAGCAGAAAAAACATTGGGTCAGTATAGCAAGAAAAGATCCGATATGTGCACTTCAAACATCCTTGAGACAAGCCACAAGCAAGATTTAATACTGAACTCTTTAACCCCACGGAAATATTTTCCACGTTTTTACATAATTTTTGCCAGATCTCGTGAAAAACGTAACGTGGGACAAACGCAAAATATTCATAAAATAGCTAAAACTGTGTCAAAGTGAAAAAAGAAGTAGTTTATACATATATCTAAAACTTTCCAGTCAAATAAATCTATTAGGATTTGTAAGAGACTGTCTTAGCAGTTATACTTCATGCACCCTGAGATCTGACCGGACCCAGGGACCGTCCACTCAGGGGCCAGCCGAACTTCGCTGTACGCAGGTTTATAAAGTTAAATATATTTGAATTCTGTATCACAGACGTATTCAACCGCAATAATTCAGACACAGAAAAGAAGGGTAGAGAACAGCTCTGACAATAGTTCCCCTACCTGTCTTTTACTGTCTGTGCCTTGCTCTATGTGGCTGACTATATCTGGCGGTGTCCCCACACTTTCCTTCAGCTCTTTACCACTCAGTGGCCACGGAAGATTAGGACTATCCTCAAACTGGAGATCAACAGAAAAAAAATAACATACTCATATATACATCGTACATTGCCCATGTGCAAGTCTAGGTAATCTACACACGACAAAGCTTAGTTTTTTCACAAGACACAAAATTTAGTTTCACCTTATCCAAAGCTTATGTGCAAAATCTCGTTTTTCAGTAAGCTGTAACCATGCTTAAAAGTTGAAACTAAAACTAAATTAACACAACACAAACTTTACTTGACTTTGCACGAATGCCACAGTGAATATTCTAAAAAAGTTTCATTACTTGATTATTTAAATGACACACAGGCATTAATCACAATATTTCCATCTTGTATAGCTGAAGCTCAAATTTTCATAGGAGCCAAAAAAGAATGAGTAACCAGTTACAACCTTACACAACACAGACTTCACACAATGCAAGTGGAAATTTATACAATAAGAAGACCCACAAAGTGAGAACACTCCCATTAACCCTTTGAGCCCAATAACCACAAGTGCACAGGTGGCGCGTACAATTACCCACATGCCTCCACCCACGAGTGAGATCATATCCCCAACACCGCTCATCTGGCGCAAAACACAAACTGGAAAACAGTGTTTGCTACACAGGACGTTATTGATTATTTTGAAGATCTTTCTCACTTAGATGCTGGTAATGACGAGGACTACCCCTGAGTGAGATATGGAATATCAATTTGACGGTGATAGGAATGTGAGAGTGGTACAGGTGTGAATAGCTCAGGAGCTCAGGCAGCGAGGCACAGTAGCATCAGGAAGTCAGGGCTCAAAGGGTTAAGGTAGCTCAGACTTGTCCTCAGGTCCCCTTGTATTTGAGAACTCAACAAACCATGTGTATGTGTGCGTGTATGTGTGCGTGTATGTGTGGGTCTAGGCCTCCCGATTACACTGGTATCAGGGGGCCTAGGTGAGGGTGTATGTGTGTGTGCGTGCAAGCGAGCGTGCATGCAGGCGTGGATGCGTGCATGTGTGCGTGCATGTGTGCGTGCAAGCGTGTATGGGTCTGGTTACAAGGTTACTATTCAAATTCTTTTCAGTTAAGGTTGGCTTTTCCTTTTCAAAGTCTCATATTCTCCTTTCTGCTACACTACATCAGATTAATTATCTGAATTAAATATAGATTAGAGGTTGTTGTAGTCTCCCTCAGTTGTTTAGTCAACCCTTTCTTCTTCTTTTCCAGTATTATTTTTTCCGTTATGTGCATCCTATTTAACAAAAACTGTTATAGATTATCAAGAACACTACCCATCAGCGAGCAGTAATCATTACTGACTCAATGAGCACGCTACAGAAGGTACAGAAAGGGATGCTGTATGTGGACTGGAAGGCTGCGATCAGGGAGAGCAGCCTGGGAAGAGTGGCCTGGACCTTCTGCCCAGGTCATCCGGGGGGTAACCGGCAACGAGAGAGCAGACAAGCTAGCTGGAGAAGCAAAAGTGGGAGGGAATTCGACACTGGACCCACCAACCGTCCTAACCGCTGTAAGGGAAAATTTGAAGAAGAACAGGGCAGATAGCGGTTCCCACACTCTATGGAGATTGAAGGAGAAGGGGATCCAAAGAGGAGAGTGGAAACACAGCCATCTGTGCGGACCAGTCCGACGGATCTCCAACCAGATCATGATGGAAACCATAAGTAGACAGACTCTGGGATGGATCCTGAAGAAGAGGGGAGAGCAGAGATGGACATGTTCCGACTGCAGTGACCCCAACACAGTGGACAAGTAAGGACAAGTAAGTATGTCAGATTATTTATCTCAATTAAATACAGATTAGAGGTTGTTGTAGGCTCCCTCGGTTGCTTAGTCAACCCTTTCTTCTTCTTTTCCAGTATTATTTTTGCCGTTATGTGCATCCTATTAAACAAAAACTGTTATAGCATCATACCAAAAAAGTAAGAAGAACAAATAAACTCAACACAACCCAAATCATTACCAACTCTTGCAGTTCATTTCTGATAGAAGGAGGCCACTGGCAAGTGCTGGTTGCCTCATCCGTTTCTGAATCCTCTTCTATTTCGTTGGCTAGTTCCTGTGGGGACGGCAGTCGAATCCCATCACTGCTGTCAGAGGCAGATCTCACACTGCAAAAACAAAAATATCATCGCACTGTAGACGACATCTTGTGTCGTAGTCAGGCACATCAGAACTGAAATCACCAAAAGTTCACTACAGCTTGTTCACTTCAGTCTGTCAGTGTTTATAAAATTCTAGTTCATTTATTAACTTACCAAAGCCCACAAAACTTTGCATGGTAGGCTACTTCTAATGGCCACCAACCAAATAATTTATTTTTTTGTTAAATCTTGATGCAGTTATAATTCTTCTTTTATTTGGTTAGAGATTTTACACAACATGTTGAAATTATGTGATGTAAAATGCTATGGTATTCCATTAAAAAGTGAGGGAGTTATAGGATAAGAAAACTTCTTAACTTGTAATGATACTAATAATATACTTATAATAACAATGATCATCACCATCAAAATCATCATCACCATCATCCTCATCATCATTATTATTGTTCAAAAAATCAAATTAGGGAGTCTTGAATGATTTACAGATAAAAAGTATAAACAAAAATAGTCAAACTTTAGTTTACTAAGTCTGATCGATGTATTGCCATGTCATGTAGGCTTCCTCACTATCATCATCATCATCATCATCATCATCATCATCATCATCATCATCATCATCATCACCATCACCATCACCATCACCATCACCATCACCATCACCATCATCATCATCATCATCATCATCACCATCATCATCATCATAAATTGTTAAGTACATGTCACCTGAAAAGTTCTTGCTGTGCTTCCATGAGCTGCTCTTGCAAATTCAAACTTTGTTGTTTCAGCTCCTGTACTCAAGAAGACCGGAAGTTTCCGACATAAGAAAAACTTAGCATAGGCCTAGGCCTACTGTTTACAAATTTGATGACAAAGACAATAACATGAGAAACAACAAAAGTAAGGTACACAGACAGAAAAAACAGAGGTAAAGAAAAGAAGTAGGACCTACCAGTAGTGCCCTCCAACCACCCGCTTCTCCTCAGTTTCAAATTACTAAAAGCACAATGGAACTTCAACACAAAACATGCCTCTTTTGCTCTATATATTCTAATCAAATGAGAATGAATACTGTAGCACCCTAATACCTTTGCAACACTGTGAATCTTAACACACTGTTACATTCTCTTATATCTCAAGATATAATTCTGTTACACAAATCCCACAGTAAATACAAGATCCAATTCTACAAAGTGAATAGGTAAACATTCTATGTGTTGTCAAAATTGTCGAAGACTGCCAGCCATTGTCGAGGAGAAAAATGGTTGTCTTAGACAGGTAGACATTTTGGACAGTCTCAGTTTATTACGCAAAATGCAAGGGGGAAACCGGGAAGTGGCCTTTTATACAGGTAATTGTCTTGAACAGGTTGCCGTTAGAGCAAGTTCTACTGTCATCGTCATCCAATGCCAGATCTGCGACAGACATCGGCAATCATGGTTCTCCATTCATTCCTTTGCTCAGATGCTCTTACAAAAGCTACGTTCCCCTGATCTTTTCCTGCTACCCATTTGTTTAGGTACCCTAAGTAGGTTGCTCTGGGCATATCCCTGCCTATACCACCACAATAAAACTTTTTCAACTGAGACTAAAAAACAATAAAAACGTTGAAATATTCAGTATTACCTCATTTTTAGAAGAAAATTCTTGAAGACAAGAAATCAGTTCTTGATGTCGCTCGTCTTTCTGAGGATAAATGATGTGCGCACTTGTGACACCTGTTGGCATTGTTTTTCTGCTCACAGTTAACACTCTTTTTATTTTTATCATAAAACTTTCCCTATCTACAAATCTTCAGACTTTTTTACTTCTCTAAAAATAAATCAATCTTAATACAGCTGTAGCACAGATCCTAGAAAATGTATCATCAGTCAGCAGCTTGGATGTTTATTCTGTGGTATTGGTCGCATGTGCTGGAGAAATATTTTGTCAAAGTACAAATGTGAGGCAGCATAGTGGAATCAGGCTCTCGTCAAAATAATCAAAGTGAAGAAACTTGCATTGTTCCCCAAGTTTGTGAATTTTTATCAAATTTTTGGTTTTTGGCTCAACACCTTCCATGCCCATTAAAGAACTCATTTCTGTGTGGATTTTTCTTAAAAACGTTGATTAAAGGAACAAAAAATGTAAATTTTCAGTTACCACGGACTCTTAAGCTAAGGAAATAACAAATCGTTTGCGGCCATTTTCTCACTCATTTTACCTCTGAAAGCAGGTGACCTCCACCTCCTTCATTCGCAAATATCTTGACTTGTATTCAAGATAAATGGATATTTTTTTTATTCAAATAAAGACGAGTGAACTAGCTTTAAGATGACACCAATAACTCTACATGTCTAAAAATTGACGAGAGCCTGATTCCACCACGCTGCCTCACAAATTCTAAATGTTGAAAAAAACAAGAAAGGAAGAAAGGAAGCATAATGTAGGCACAATAATTGTTAAAAGAATGAACAATTTTTCTTTCTTCTCTTCTGAAAAGTGTTGTAGCCTGAGTATAGAACTGTGGAAGAGCTTGCTAACGATGTCGAAAAGGACTACAAAAATTTGTTTTTAAATTAAAATGTAAATATTTTTTAAAAGAGGATTAAAATTAAAGAAAAGAACTGATACAAACGCCACAAACTATGTACTCAAGTACCAACCTCTGCCAACCGAGCCTCCAGGCTAGCACATAAATCTGTAAATTCTAATACCTTGTCCTATATGAAAGTAAAATAAAGGTTCATCAGCAAAGAAATACACATAGAAATACAGTCAAACCTGTGTAAGACGGCCACCCATTGTCAAGGAGAAAAGTGGCCGTATAAGACAGGTGGTTGTCTTAGGCAGGACTGATCAAGATAAAGGAAACAAACCATTCCCATCTGAGGCCCCAATCGAAAGTAGCTGCATTGTTCTTGTTGCTGTTGGTTTGTACTTCGTTTGTAATTTTTATTTTGTCGCTGATTTTGCACAATGGAGACAATAAAGCGAAATGTATCAAACAAGGAAGACCGAGTGCCATGTTAAAACAAACACATGGGTCGCCACCACTCGGAGAACGAGGGACGCTTCTGTAACAAGTTCATGTTGACGTCCTATGTTACTTCGTTACAGACTGGGTAAACAGTAACCACTTATCTCACTTACGATTTGTGTATGAGTTCTGGGCGGGGCTGATGGGTTATGACGGATCACACGCTTACCTCACCAGCAGCTGAAAATTGGTAGCTATTGGTCAACAGTGGGAGGGGCCTACGCAACATGATCGGTTGGAGGGACTACCTAACAACAACGACAGGTGATTGAATTATGACAGCTCGCCCACAACGCCAGGGGTCAATGCACAATTTATGACAAAACGTAATGGAGTTACTAAGGTGACCGTCTTAGACAGGTATTATTGCTTAGTATTATAGGGGTTGTGTGTTAAATTATTGTGGCCGCGGCCGCGTTGGACAGGTGCCCGTTTTACACAGTTAAATTATATAGAAAAAACGCAAGGGGGGAAAAGGAAAGTGGCCGTTTGTACAGGTGGCCGTCTTATAGAGGTGGCCGTCAGGGCAGGTTCGACTGTAGTCACTATTAATCTACTTCAAAACAAACTTCAATCCTATAAACTGCGTTGGCAAATTTTAGACTTACTCCATAATCTTCTATGCACATTTCTTTTTTTTTTCGGGAGGGGGGGGGGGAGTCTTCCAATCATAGCATGACTATGGGATATGTACAATGCAAACTTTGCTCATGAAATCAACACAGAAAGAGGGCAATAGCTATACAATAAATAAACAGGGGCAGTCAGAGAGTACAAAGCGAAATAATTATGTTCCAACTCCAAATACCAAATCCAATCTCTTGATTATAGACACAGTCATGTCTCAATGCTTTTCAAATAAACACAGCACAAAATGATTTTCTATGCACATTGCACATTATGCATAACAGGAAGTGATAATGTCTATTCTGCTTGTACTGAAGAAAAACCAGATTATTTATTTTACAAAACAAAGTCTACAGCACTCAAAATGTTTAACTCACAAACAACTCGAGGCTAGGAATAAACAAACTGCTATGTAACTCAGTGTCCAGCTTAACTCTTTGTTTCCGGCAAGCCACTCCAGGTGGCTCGCAGTCGGAACCACTGTGCCGGTGAGCCTGTGACATGGCAGCGCGGGCACATTCCTTTACGACGACTTCGACATCAGATTACTTTTTAGCAATTGTCAAAAACAGGTCTCGTTTAGCAGGAGTTCATTCATTAGATGAAGAACTATCAAAATAGGTTTGCTAGTTTCGATTTAATGACCCATTTAAAGATATTTTTTTTCATTTTTAGATTCAGCACCAAAAAGGGGCCCCGGCATATTGGGTTTACCTCCCTCGGTGATAAAGAGTTATTGCCTAGCTAAAAAGTTAATACTTAAGTAAACCAGCAAAAAGATTCATACACTATCAAAATTTTACTAAAGTAATTGATTAACCCAGTTTAATAAGCACGAACCTTGCCACCTCGCAACAAGGATTTGAGATCCTCCCGCTCTCGGGCTGTATCTGTGAGCTCTGAATTCAGTTGTCCGACCTGTGAACGAATGTTTCAAATACTTTTCTGAATACCAGTACGTGATTATTTCAGACTTATGAAGAAAATAATAAAAGTAAAAGAGCCAAGTAAACAAAACAAACTTCATAGTGGGACCAAAGTAAAAGTAAGATCAAAAGATCCTATTTTTCTGTAAACCAGTGTATTTACTACGCTACACACTCTCCATCAGAATATTCAGCAAAATGTAAAACATGAAGAACACAAAGTGAATGAAGAAACTCTATTATTCTGGTTTTCTACCAGAATAAGAATTGCACCAATACAGGGAAAAGTACTTCCTCCATCGTTTCTTTAGTTTCAGTAAAACTTTTACAGCACTTGCAACACAATACGGTCATATATAAGTGCAGTAGATTAGAGGTGTTACAAGAGAGTAACAAACACAAAAAAAAGGAGGAGAGAGAAGGACAATAGTTTTTGATAGGAGAAAAGAAGCAAGCCAAACCAGAACACCTGCCAACCACCCACTCCATCATTTCTAAAACTAAACAACTACACCACTGCACCTATACAGGAAGAAAACCAACGACAGCAAGGAAATATCAACTTGGCACCATCTCGTCGCTGACTAAGTGAACATAGGCTTTGTATAAAGAACAACAATGAAATTGCTTAATCAATCTAGTCTGACTACATTGAAGAATAAACAACATTGATTTTATACATAAGTGCCTCACAAACATACAATCACACCATTACTCAACTATGTAATAACAGGCTAAGTGATGAAGACAATAAAATTGCAAGCTGTCAAGACAGACATTTTTTAAACATGCTTTGCTAATAGTTTCCAGTGCTGCCAAGAAAAGGAGAAGCCTTTTTAAGATGTGATCAATATCTAACAATATGAAGCAGGTCCATCAACGTATGACATCTCTTCACAAGACATTTTAAAAAATTATGTTTCCACTGTCCAGCTCTTACGAAACATGTTCGTAAAAAATTACCACAAGTATTATTATCTACCAGAGACTTAAATTTGCGACTTTCACCATTCTTAAGGAAATCTGTAAAATCAAGTCGTTTAGGCAAGGTTTAAACAATTACTACTACTGCATTGGAACACAGGACAGCGAGTGAATCAAATCGCGATTTCAAAACATTCTCAAAAAACAAAATTGAAAATTTGAAAACGGAAAAAAAAACTTGCAAAAATAAACAAACGAAAAAATGTAAACAGTGTACAGTGGTCAATTCCTAACTGTCCCACCTCCCTCCTAGTGTACAGTGGTCAACGGTCCCACTTCCCTCATTACCTGCGTCTGAATACGCTGCAGCTGAGCATGTAGCAGGCTCTTCTCTTGCTCCCCTCTCTGCACCTGTTGTCTCTCTTCCTCCAACTCCCTGCACAGAGAATCAACTTGCTGACGTAGCTCCGCGTTTTCTAGTTCTGTTTGTTGCCTCAGATCGCCCCATGTTTTCAGCCTGAGGAAGGAGACAATAACAGTTTAATGATGGGATCAGTCCCCTTTCTTTTAAAGTCATTCAATTTGGAACCAGTCTGCTTATGTAGGTCAAGTGTGAATTAGAGTAAGGCCCCAGAGGCGCAAAAAATTACTCTTTTTAAGATGTGTGACACAACACGCAGTGGAATCACGCTGTCAAACTCAAGGCATATAAAGATATTGGTATCAACTAAGAAAAAAAGAAAAAAAAGATGGGAGTCAACTTTTATCATAAGACACTCTAATTAGGCAGGTGTCTCAAACTTGCAGTCCAAAGGCCAATTGAGGCCTGATCTAGGACAATATTGTGCAGCCTCTTATCTTGACATCAAAGATATTTGATACGAAAGAAACAGCAAACCACACCAGAGAAGCCGCCAACCACCAACATTTTGCGACCCCAGTGCCTTCTTGTCATATCTCCATTTTTGTTCACGGTGAAAATGGGACTTCTTCTTGAGCTCACTCTTTGTTATGAACTGTTTTCACTGTTATTAAAAATGGAGATACGGCAAGAAAGCACTGAGGTCGCGATTTTACCTTTTAGTTTTTGTTTTCGTAAGAGTTTTACGGCACTTGCAACACAATAAGGTCTTATAAGTGCCGAAGATTAGATGTGTTACAAGAGAGTAACAAACACAAAAAAGAAGGAGGAGAGATCAGGACGATAGATTTTAGATAGGAAAGAAGGAGCAAACCACACCAGAGCACCCACCAACCACCCACGATTTTACCTTTTCACCTCCAGGTGCGAGTCTGCCAGCTGAGCGGACAGCTTCACCACCTCTTCCTCCTTGGCCTCAACGGTAGCCCGTGTCTCCTGTAACTGCTCACTTAGCCTTGTGTTCTGATGACGAGAGTCAATCAGGCGACTTGACATTTCTCCAAGCGTCTGGCCAAAACTGAAGTGGAAAAAAAAGAAAGCGACAAATGCTGTGACGAGCAACAGATAATTCAGGGATGCCACTAGGACTTAGTGAAAAAACATAAATTTACAGCGTAGAATTTTCAAACAAAAGACTGTAAATAGAAACAAATAATATAGGGTAAAACAAAAAATAAATTTTAAGAATAACAACTGTTCTTTTTTTTTCATTCTGCTCGGAAAATAACAGAAATAAGGTGGGGGGGAAAAAATAGCAGAAATAATGGGAACAATCAAACCCCTGGAAAATAGCATCCCTCATAATTACATGTCATCCATAATAGGTCACAGAATGGGTCAATAACAACCCGCAGTCAAACTGACAAAAAGTGTGAGGAAACAATACACGGTAATACTACCCTGCCTTTGACACTTGACACAAATAGGAAGAAAATTATTGTATTTAAAGTCAGGATCTGAAAAATCAATTAACCCCCACAACGTATTCTGAGATAAATGTGATGTGTATATATATATATGTGAAAGGTGAAGTCAAAATGAGTTGCTTCTACGATTCGAGACCTACGGAAATAGATACGTCACGCTGAAGTTTTTACAATTTTTAAGTATGAAATAATAAAAGGCTTATTATACTCAAGGCATCAATAGATTTTCAGCCATTATCTCCGTTTGTGGATAGCGAGAAGTAACTCATTTTGCCTCACATATTCCAAAGAAAACAACAAAGCACTAGCTAGCAACCACAATTTCAACTGGCAACTTTTATCACAGCAGTTTTTGGAGTGGAACAGAAAATATGCGTAACAATAGAGAAGTGGAATCAACTTAGAGGTGAGTAAACAAAGGATATTGTCCGGTGGTCAGCTGATTGTTACGTGGCCGGGTCAACGTAATTATGTCACGGGAACAATCTTTTTAGACGAATTCCGGGTTGTGTAACGGTTTCACATTAGTGAACGACTCTCAGGGCAGAGATAAAGAGAAATACAGAAAGGGGGCTCTAGGGGGAGAGTGGGGGATGGAGAGTGAGGGGAGAGAGAGAGAGAAAGAAAAAGAAAGAAAGACAAAAGGGGAGAGGGAAGGGGGAAAAAGGAAGAGAGAGAGAGACACAGAGAGAGAGAAAGAGAGAGAGAGAGGGGAGAGAGAAAGAGAGAGAGAGAGAGGGGAGAGAGAGAGAGAAAGAGACAGACAGAGAGAGAGAGAAAGAGAGAGAGAGAGAAAGAGAGAGAGAGAGAGAGAGAGGGGGGAGAGAGGGGAGAGAGAGAGAGAGAGAGAGAGAGAGTGTGTGTGTGTGTGTGTGCATGTGCGTGCGTGAATGTGTGCGTGATTGCATGCATGCGTTCGTGCATGTGTGCATGCGTGCGTGCGTGCGTGCGTGCATGTGTGCGTGCGTGCGTGCATGTGTGCGTGCATGTATGCGTGCGTGCATATGTATGTGTAAGACAGAAACAGAGACAGCAACAAAGACTAAAACAGAAAAATTTTTCAAAATGAAAAAAAAGCAGAGACAAACACTTTCAACTTCACTTATCCACACACAGTAAAATCATAATAAAGGCAGCTTGCTAAAAGCATGCATTGTGAAGATAGTTCACGAGACGAATTGGAAAAAGGGAATATATTATGATTTTTAAGAATAACATTGGCAGCCAAGCAGGAAGATATCACCTTTCCTCAGCCATCAGAGAAATACTGTCTTCTATTGAGGTTTCCATACGTTGTACTTGAGCACCACCAACTACAAAGATAAGTCATCATAACATTGACATTTATCAACAATCCCTTACACAGGAAAAGAATTCATTTCACCCCCTCCCCCCCCCCCCCCCCACAAGAAAAAAAAAATTACACATCATACTATCTTAGATAGGTCCAATAAAACTACTAGAAACATCAATTCAGGTGCTTAAAAATTGTTGCCAAATTACATAAGTAATCACCTTCACTCTGCAAGACAAGGAAAATAAAACAACTTTCACAAAAGGAAGGTAACTGTGTATTCCAATATATGATCAGACTTTCTGTGTGGGGAACATAAATCACCTAGGTTTCACAACATATTCAGTAACAATGACATATTTCTATTAACTTCACACCACTTTCCAGGATTCGTGATTTTTTAAATTTTTTAAAAATATAAATTTTAAGAATCGATTTTTAAAATTTAAATAAGATTTTTTAAAATTTAAATCGGATTTTTTTTTTTTTTTTTTTTTTAAATGTTGAGTTTGGGATTTTTGGTAGCTAAAAGTATGTTCTTTTAGTGCAAAATGCATTGTCTTTATTTTAACTAAAGATTAATTTAAGCAACTGCAAAAGAAAGCCTTCATCTGCTATATCAGTGAATTATGGCTACAGACAAAAAATGAAGAAAATGTCAGTCTAAAAGGAAGGGGGGGGTACTTATGCATAGATAAACTTGCATTTTGTGACAGTGTGTGAGTGTGTGCGCACTTGTGTTTGTCTAAAAAGAAAAAGAAAATGCTAATTTCAATTATTTAAAAAAAGTATATTGAATACTGTATTATTTTACAGTGACAGGGGGGAAAGCAGACTTTTAAGCATGATTATAGTAGTCTACTAAACCTTATATCTGTTTTATAAAACCAAGGAAAGGAATTCTGAATGTTTAAAGATGTAAAAATAGAATACATTTTTTTTAAAGTGATTTAAATCACTGAGTTTTATTTTTAAAATCAAGCTCTGATTTCAATTATATATGGAAAAAAAAGTAAATTGAATACTGCATTATTTTACAGTGAAAGGGGGGAAAGCAGACTTTTAAGCATGATAATATTAGATCTAGTCTACTAAACCTTATATCTGTTTTATGAAACCAAGGAAAGAAATTCTGAATGTTGAAATATGTGAAAACTGAATAAAAATAATGTTTTTTAAAGTGATTCAAATCACTGATTTTTATTTTAAAATTCAACTGATTTAAATTAAAAAATTCAACTGAATCAAATCGATCTGATTTAAATCAACCCAACCCTGCCACTTTCAGCTGCTTTCTTTCATTATGTTACACATTAACATTTGACTGAAATGGGCCATTCCTGGGAAAATTAAACAGGATTAACGCATGTAACATTGGGAAGATGACCTGCTGAAAAAAATGTTTATGTGTTAAAATGCAGCCATTGTTGTTGTTGTTATTGAATTGTTTTTAGAAGAAAGTTGCCTTTCAAAATAAAATAAAATAAAATAAAACAAAATATATACATAGCAATTTCCTCTCTGAAACAGCTTTAAATCACAACAGAAAGAGAAGCGTGACTTAATCAAAAAGTAACAAGAGATATCAAGGAGAGAAAATAATCTCACTGTCTTGCGTCTCTTCCAGTCCAGTGATGTTGAAGTCTCTGGGAAAAGAACAAAAATTGGAGAAGGATTCTTTAAAAAGAAAACCACTACACAAGACAAAGTCATCCACCATATATAAAGCATGGTTAACTTAGCAAAAGCTGGGGTCCATTAATTTTTTAAAAAGAACTTTTCAAAAAAATACAGTGAAGTCCACGTAAACCCAAATCTGTGAGACCATCAGATTTTCTTCAGCTTAGATCTGTTTTAGGAATAGAACAATTGCTGAAATTACTATATAAAGGAAAAAATTGTTGGAGATTGGAATCTTTTTTCGTTTTACCTCTGCTTTTGGACTAAAAATATTTGGTTTAAGCAGACTCCACTGTAGGTCCAGAAAAACAGAAAAAAATATTCAGAGAACAATCACAAGCAGACCAGCTTTTCTTGTTGAGCCAAAAGTGCATGACAATCTTACAGTAATTCACCAGATCAATATCTTGTTCACTGGAAACAGCAAACAGGATCAAACAAGTACATACTTTGCTGACTAACGAAAGCTTTTTCACTGATTCTTTTAAAACTCCAGCAAAGCAAGTAATACATTCAATCTGAATCACACAAGTTTTATCTTTAAATAAGTTGTCAAGAGCAACAACCACTGTTCAATGTGCGTAGTAACATACTGTACGGTAGAAGAGAAAGGAAGATAATTTCCTGCCCACTAGATGGGCTGAGACAATTACTACAGTGTTCAAAAGACAGTCCGGTATAGTCAAGGGTCAATCAATACCAGTTTTTTCCCTGGCTGACATGTGGGCTGCAGACAAGCAATTATCAGCATGGCACAGTAATTATCTATTTTTGCTGCTTCTCTTAACTAACTGGAGACCTCACAGTCCTCAGGTCAGTAATGATTCAGGGGACATTGCCATTTCTCAGAACACTTTCACTGTTGTACACTCTCAACTAAATCAGTTACAAACAAGAACTGAATGGTTTGCAAAAAAAGAAAGAAGAGAAAAGGACGGAAGAAAGCACTTAATGAACTAACATGACAACAAGAGAAGAAATAAGAGAAAAGACAGAAGTCACAAAGTAGAACAAAACAAAAAATCAGGAGCACAGTAGAAGCAAGGCTGTCTCCCAACTGTTGGTGTTTATGCAAGAAGAAGCAAAAAGCGTAGAGCGCTATAGGCACTCACTGACCTTTCCTAAATGAGCATCAGGACTGGAGAAAAAGACTTCTTTAAAACTAGATTTACAAGTACTCTCTCTATAGGCCTACAATTAATGATGGCAACTGAACACCCGAGGAGAACACTCAAAAATGCAATGCAACTGTCTGATCCAATTCTCAGCAAGGACACTTCTTAAAATATATAATATTCTTTTTAAAAAGTATTCAAAGGTCTCTTGATCAGAACACATCTAATTTTAAATCATTCTAGCTAACATTATGGTGATTAGAACCCTTATGACCAATACAGTTGTTTGAGTAAAGTCATGCACATCTACACATTAAGTCATATTTGAGGGTGCAGAAAAAAGCAAAACAGATAGGAAGAAACAAAAATAGAAAGTAAGTAAGTAAGTTTATTCAGCGTTTAAGGCCATTGGCCCAAATCACATTAAACAAAAGACTCATTTGATAAATAGTTTCCATAATGAATAAGTGCAGGTTGTGCACATATTATATCTCTTATCATGAGTCAAACACTGCATATTTCTGTCACTGGGCCGACAAAAAGAGAAAGCAAGGAAGGAAGACCTACCAGTTGCACCTCCCTCCACCAAAACCTAACACCAAAGTGGTGCTGCTAAGGTCAGTGATAAACTCCTTAGTAAACTGTCACACTTACAGGTGGTAACACATAGCATTGTACGACACTAAGGATGTTACTGTAGAAGTAGACTAAAATTATAAAGTCGAATGTACAGATAACATTTTTAAAGATCATATTTTTTTTAATAGGCCTATATGACTATAATATGCGAGGTATCGTGGTGAAATCAGGCGCTCGTCAAAATAATACAACTAAAGAAACCAGTATTTTCTGGACGTTGGGTAATTTTTTTTTTTTTTTTTGTATGTCAATTTCAAAACACATTTCTGTATAGGTTTTACTGAAAAACTATAGTCCATAAAATATATGAGTGATATGATACTGTGGAATAAAGCAGTCTAAAGTTTTGGGGCATATAGAATTACTGGTATTATTTTATAAGGCCTGTTCACTTTTGCCTGGCTTTTGGTGGAAAAAATACCCATCTGTCTTGAATAAATAAGTTGAGATATTATATTACTTTCATCAACATTTCACAGTAAAATCCACACAGGAATGTGTTTTTGAACGGACATAAAAAGCTGTTAGGTTTCAAACAAAAAATTCATTAAAAATTGGCCACCACGCTGAAAAATGTTGATTTCCTTGATTTCATGTCGGGTTGGGTTTTTTTGACAAGTGCCTGATTTCACCACCACAATGCCACACACACACACACACATGATTAATGAGCAGCTTACTTTTTCTGCTTTGTCTTCATATCCTGAATCCACTTGTGAAGGCCATCACAAAATGCTAAGATTTCAATTTCAGCATTAGTCTGGTCCGGATCCAAAATAGCGATCAGACCGCCAACTGCTTCATCTTTCTGGAATGTTGATAAGAGAGCAAATCTGAAATCAATATTTGCCCCCCCCCCCCCTCCCCCCCACACCTTTTCCTCCTTTATCCCTCTGATATTAGTCGTGTTGAGATGAGTCTAACTGGTGGCTCTATTTGTTACACCGGCACAACGGACAATGAGCTAAAACGTTGAGGAGAAATGATCACTGTTACACAAATAGTTTCCACAACTGAACATCTCTTTCACACTACTTAATTACTGTCAAATAACATAACATATTTATAGATTTTTCCTCTTGAAAAGTGCTGAGCAAGGGGTGATAGAGAAACAGAGACAGAGACGGAGAGAGAGAGA